GGAGGTCGGTGATGCAACACCTGATGAGCCACTTGTGCTAGGCGAAGGGTGCGATATAGCGAGAGTAATTTCGTCGTTGGCACCCCTTCGGATTGGCTCCCTGATATCCGCGTACTTCGCACCACCCCCCCACGAAGGCATCGTGTCCCCCGACTTGCACACCGCGACGTGACCCGGCCTGAAGAAGATTCCAGCTTTCTGAAGCTCCTCTTGTTGTGGCGAGAGTCTGGTTTGGCGCCTAGTGCTGCCGCTGGGCTGTGGTTTTATCGACTCGGCAAATGAGGCAAGCCTACCTCTATCAAGTTTCAGCACACGTTCTACGCTCGTCAATCTGAGCCAAAACTCCCCGGGTTCAAGTTCTCCTAGTTTTTCGATGACTAAGCCAGCGTCCATCGGTTGACGCTCGTCCNAGCATTAGGCACGAACTAACCCACAACACCCGTTCCTATATGTACCCCGTGTACACGCAAGGAACCGCGGAAAGCTGAATGTTACCGATACTAAATCCCTATTAATAAGGCTTTTACAGCAGTAGTACGGGAAACGCCGTAACTCGACCATATCTTAGATCGAGTTTAGGCATTCTATATTGTATGATAGCTATTCTTCCGGGCCATCTTGTGAGCCATCTCTGACCCCTATTTGAATATTTGGCGGTTACAAAAACGCCCATATAGGTACACTTACCGCGGACTGCCGTAGGGGATTTTTTGTGTCACACATAACTTTTGCATTATACGGTCTTTCGGCTCGAAACTCGGTGACTGTGCAAACAGAAGCAAGTAGAACCATATGCAACCGAGGGCCTCGGCCGCTACCTGATCTATCGACTCCTGGATGTGTGTTTCTGACCCTTACGGGGCCGTTTTGCGGCGTCACGGGGCCCCCTCTTCAACGTCGCAGCACGCATAGCTGGCTACACGTATCTGATAATCTGACGGTACCAGACGACTCGCCTGCTCATGGGCTGCATATAAATATAGAATGTCTCGACTAACCCTCTCTGTAACCTAAGCTACGGCGAGAGCGCCGCCCTGTTCTGCTACTCTGATGCGAACAATTTTCATGCGGCAGCAGCAAATCTTGCGACCAGCACCGATTTCCTAGCAGGTGGTTGCAGCTGAGCTATCAAACTCAGCGGTCAGCAGTATTGTGG